CCCTTAGTCATAGCTTCACGTGACAACCACAAGCCGGGGCATCCTATCCTCCAGTGATAGCATGTCTTATTGTACTAAACCCTTAGTCATAGCTTCACGTGACAACCACAAGCCGGGGCATCCTATCCTCCAGTGATAGCATGTCTTATTGTACTAACCCCTTAGTCATAGCTTCACGTGACAACCACAAGCCGGGGCATCCTATCCTCCAGTGAAAACATTGGAATATAGGTGTCTGTAGGCCACCACTGCCCCCCGACGATCTGTCACATTAACGTTACTAAGGGCCATTGGGAACCTTGGTGTAATGTTTGAGAAAGATCCTTTCTGTACTTCCAAGAAACAGTGATAACAAGAACTGTTTCAGGATGGATGGAATGACAGAAAACAGAAGACAGACAAAGGGGAAAGAACAGCCAACATCTGATGATGTGGGCTAAAAATTATGAGGCTGTTTTTGAGTGAAAAATGGTGTGTGGTACCTACCATCGTATTCCAGAAATGAGTCATCACTGTCATCTTTGTCGACTTCATCGTCCTCTTTATCACCATCATAGCCGGACAGCACTGACTCGTCCATGATAGCAGACTGCTCAATGGAGGGGGTCGCAGTATTCTCACGACCCTCCACACACGGCCCTAACTCGTCCATGATAGCAGACTGCTCAATGGAGGGGGTCGCAGTATTCTCACGACCCTCCACACACGGCAACTTCCTACAGAGCACACACAATATCCAATCATGATTTACATTGAAATATTAAAAGATTTGACAATTAATTAAGTCAAGAATGTATTCACAGTGGGCAAATATTAAATAAATGCTTTTGGCCTAAGGCCAAATAAAAATATAGGTGTGTTTCCTGTTTCGGCTCCAAAAAAAAAGAAGAGGGTGATAGGTAGGAAAACCTTTTTTTTTTCTGGTGAAGAGAATTTCCTGATTGTCTCGGTGAATTATAAAAATATGTTATTGTTTTAATAAAGTATGAATGGCACCAAACATACAATTTTGTATTCATGTAAAAAAAAATACACATTAAAAAAATCTATGCATTCCTAGTTTTTTTGTTGAGCAGGCCCAAACAACACACTGAAGTAAATTATTATTTGACCCACCTAAATGTTTATGGAATAACCAAAGTAAGTTCAGGGTTATTGGTGTTTTCAATTTGTTTAATGTGTGTTATTTTGTGTAGCTATCACTGTGGTATTATATTTTTTCTAACATCAAATGATATTATTATACCATTGTAATCAGGCCATTTTGTTGGCATACCGGTAATCTATTTTGAATGCCACCATTTATTAAAAGAGATTTTGGAAAGAAATAACCCGGTAAGTATAAATTTCTGTCAGATATTTAGACATAAATATAAGAATTACCATACAGGAGGGATATATCTTTTCTGTTTTTAATTATTTCCAGATTTGGAAATGGAGACAATATACATGTCGTTATGTTCGTGATGTTGCATTTTGTTTTAATCCCCACTGCTGCCACCAGTGTTACATTTCTAAATGATCCCTACTGCTGCCACCAGTGTTACATTTCTAAATGATCCCTACTGCTGGACATTAGTTTTATAGTAATCCAGACCCCAAACTCTCCTCTATATCTCCAGACTTCTCAACTCAAGTCTCCATAACTCAACCTCCTTTCTCAAGACTCCTTAACTCAACTCCCCAACCAACTCTCTTCACCTCCTTCGACTCCCAAGCTAAACCAATTTACTATCTGTCCCTTAGCAAAATCCTGCTACATAAACCAGAAAATGTCTGTAAGACATAAACTAGAAAATGTCTGTAAGACATAAATGCCCCTGCTCATGGATGGGACAGGACGGACATGGGCAACACTATATGCCCCCTAATTTTTTGGCGGGGGCATAAAAATGCTGATACATTAAAATTGTTGATGCTGCTGAAATCCTGCTAAAATTTGACCCCTATACAACTAGATTAACCTGGTCATAAATCCTGCTAAATTTGACTCCATCATCAGTCTAACATGACAGACTGGACTCCCCCCACCTAGAGAACCGAGGGTCCCACTAATCTATAGATCCCAACCTAGGTATACCATAAGCACAATTATCTACGTCTACTTTAGCTACTATCTCATATAAAACTCTGACACTGACCAGAGTCTAATGAAATGTATAGCAAATTATATGTACGCTTTGAACAATTAAACGGCTAATAAATGCATAACAGTGACTGTGAAAAACCAATAAAATGTAATAGGGTCGGCATGAAAAAATAGGGTCGGTCGGGAAACGGGAAACACAGCTATATTTATATTTAATATTTAAACATACAATCTACAGTGTATAAATACATCACACATATTTTTCTATTTACATTAAAACCAATACTTATTCTTTTCAAATTAAATTTCTTGCCTTCTGGTTGATCACTTATTACAATCAGTTGGTGTTATGCAGTACATTCAAGAATTTTTTCATGATGATCCCAAAAAGTTTGAAACCTCAAACTCTGACTGGGTTTAGCTGTATTGTTGCACCCCTAGCACTTAAGAACTGTCCACACAGAGAGAGAGAGAGAGATATCTATCTAATTTTTTTAATATTCAATACAAATTTAACGGCTTAGCTATGATAATGTCAACTTACCGATCACATCTGCGCTTCTTTCTTGAAGGGGATAGGATAAGTTGGTCATCGTTTTTGAATTTGACACAGACATCAAGTCCCTGTTGTATGTGATCTGTTACACCGAGCATAGCACACAGCTCTTCGTAGCTCATGATCTGTAATTACAGCAGTCACCATACCAATACGTATTTAATATTGAAGAGTCAAAGTAAAATCAAAGAACTTTTAGATCACTTTATTAGTTAAGAAATTCTTAAATGTTATTCGTTGTCATGGTTATTACTTAACTCTTTGAGATGAATGGAAAGTAACAAAATCTTGACGCAGTTAGCTTATTATTTGTGTAGAAGCCTTACCTCCATCTCACTGACTTCCATAAACTTTTTATCCGAGTACCGCAGCTTGACGGCCTGTAGTGTGACATCTCTGTGGTCGACCACTGATCCTTCCAGGAAACTGTACAAACATAAGTGACAATGTCAATATCATGCCTTAAACATAGCAGTGACAATGTCAATATCATGACTTAAACATAGCAGTGACAACGTCAATATCATGACTTAAACATAGCAGTGACAACGTCAATATCACCCCTTAAACATAGCAGTGACAACGTCAATATCATGACTTAAACATACCAGTGAAAATGTCAATATCACCCCTTAAACATAGCAGTGACAATGTCAATATCATGACTTAAACATAGCAGTGACAATGTCAATATCATGACTTAAACATAGCAGTGACAATGTCAATATCATG